GAGAGAGAGAAAGGAGAAAGAGAGAGACAGACAGAAAGAGAGAGAGAGAGGGTGTTTGTTATTATAATAAGAAAAATTAATTCCTGCTGTCACATTCTCTCTGCATCGGTTCCCCGGCTGACTCGGTGCAATACAGTCATTATTGTACACATTTTATGACCAGACCCGTTTCTCTTCTCTCACCTCTTGTTTATCATGTATCATATTCAATATTCCATAATATCTCGACTTTAATTCTGTAAGGGCGCTTCGTTTTCCTTCATCTCACTTGAAGCTGGCCAAAATATTAAATATACGTCACTGTTGTCACTGACTAAAGCTGGCTGACTTAAACCGGCAGTAGACGCTCCCCCTAAACGAAGCTTTAGTGCCGTGAACGTAGCCTGAACAGCGCCAGCAAACTGCATTCAGGGAGCCGTGAACGTCGCTTGCAGACTACGTTCACAGTGTACTGCGTTTAAGAAAACAGAATTTTTACTTTTCAAAAGTCACCACTAAGAATAAGATCCCTCTCTGATTCACTCTGACTCTAAAGGTCTAGATTTTACATCCGGCTAAGATCCCGCTTTTCATATAATAATTTATGGAACAAAAGCCCAGACAGGCACAGCCGATCAACCAAGAAGAGTGAAAAATTAAGATCGTTGTACTGCCCATCATGTCAAAAATCAGCCACTCTCATGAATGTGATCACATAAAAGCACTGTAAAACTGGATGAAATGGTACAATGTTTGCCCCAGACAGGATCACTCTGAGGTGTGAACTGACTGACCCGTTTGTTTTCCCCAAACATCGTGCTTGCATCTGAGCTCTCCACCTAAACTTACATCACTCGCTGGATGGGAAGGGCCTACAAGTTCGTTCTAGGGGGGATATAACATTGAACTGTGAACTCTTCCTCGATCACTGCATCAGTTGTCTCTACTCCTGAATTTGCGAGTCAGACTGAATTTTAATTGGTGTTGCCACAACGTAATAGTGTGTAATGACGAAGGTGAGGGGGAACTCGGTCCGAGATGGAACGCTGTAACTTTTGGACAGGTGAAGCGAAGGGGCAGCTGGATAAGTGTAAATCTTGAGACTAACGATAATATGATGGAAAATTACAGTCGAACCTGTGTAAGATGGAATGGCAAGGGAGCCAGAAAAAAATTCCGTCATAGACAGGGGAATTTAGGGGGAGATGGAAAGGGGGGGGGGGTCAAAGGCCCAGCCGGTGGGATCAAGGTTTGCTTGTCCGATCGGCGAGCGGTGGTCAAAACATCAACCCTCTCAATTGCTATCCTGTCTGATAATGACATGTATCAGTCTTACTTATCCAATTACCATCAGTGCTTGCCTTTCGTAGGACCACTATTTGACCTATTAAAAACAGAAACGTTTGAACATCTCCTTTGCTTCCACCCTTAGCCCCACCCATCGGTGTGACAAGCACAGTCAACGAATGCCACCCCTCACTGCCATCATGTAGAACTCTTTTCTCGGCTGGCCGTACGATCATTGGTCTATCTAATTTCACACCTCTGGCTTTTGGCTACAAATGAAAGTTTCTGTAGTGGCTTGGCACTCGAGCACTCTCACGGGCAGTTGTGAAATTTCACTCCCACACTACCCTGACCATCTGCATCGCTCAGGGCTCACATGATGGGATAACATCTACTCCCAAATTGCACCCCTACTCCCCATCCTCGCCCAGCAGCATGGCCATGGCATTAAGTTTAGAGCCGGCGGAACCAAACTTACGAGTTTTGTTTCAAATCTGGGCTGAGCAGGCAAAGCATTTTACGTCTTAGACAGGTGAAACCCTTGGAAGGGAGCGGATTTTTTTTTCGGTTTCCATGTTGGACAGGTTTCCATTTTATATGGGTAATCAAAGACGGATATATATCAAGGGGGGGAGCGGGTAGATTTCGTTAAGACAGGTTTCCGTTTTATACGTTTCCTTTAAGGAAGGTTCAACTGTATAGGAAAATGGCATTACCTGTATTACCTGTCCTGGGCAACAACGTCATTGCACACCGGACAGGTCCATAAGTGCTCAGTTCCCCCCAGCACCAAAGCCAGCAAGGTATCCATACTGACTGTCTGGTTATGGCGACGTCTTTCCTCTCCAGGAAAATGGCATGCCTCCTGCCACTGTGATTTGTCTTCAGGGTTGACCACTCTTTGCTCGCCATATGTCATAAACCCACCCAGAGGTCACGTCAGTTCAATTTAGAGTAAAGGGAGACCATTTTACAGGTTGTTAGCCTGAACATTGGTCACTGTGGATTCTTTTCTTGGTGCATTGGCTAAGATCCTGTTCGCCTAAGATCCCGTACTTTCCTTGCTCCCGAGCAACAGGATCTTAGGTAGAGACTACTGTAGTAGTATAGTTATATAGTAGTGTTGTGTAGTTGTAGTAGTGTAGTTACCAAATCATTTGTTGTCTCAGGAGGGCTTCTAGTTAGTCTATTTTCAATTTTGTTTTATCAACAAAATTTTGATTATTTTGGAGACGGCAGGGGTAAAAATTTTTAGAGGTCCCGTGTGTAAGTTGAGCATTATAAAAGATCCCTTTGTGGTCCTAAAACCGATAGTATAGGCTTTGGCTGCCACCTGTACAAAATTCAAAATTAATTCCTACCAAACTTAAAATGCTTAATGTGTCCCACATGCTCATATAAGACCTTATGCTGTTGTGAGCATCTTAAAACAGTTACCCCCCCCCCCAAAAAAAAAAAAGCCTAGATAAAAATGAACCAGAAAAGTGCTGTCTGAGCATGACAGGAGTGAAAGTAAAATAATACGAAAAATTCTCTCGACTCAGGAATTGAACTCGAGTCTCCTGAGTGCGATGGCAAATGGCCTTATCATTACATCACAAATACAGTTATGGTTCAGTTAGTCTTGGAGCTCATCAAGTCTAACTTAAGTCTAAAGGCTTAGACTAAAGTAGGAATGAAAAAGCATGTGTATAGGCCTACGTTATATGTTAGTCTACACGACAGGCTTATTTTCTCTTCGTCCTCACTTAATAAAATCTCGTTGAACCTGTTTAGGGGGCTGCCGTGGCCTAGAGGTTAAGGCGTTTACCTTTCATTCAAAGATCCTAAGTTCGAATCCGGGTAGCGCCGGAAAAATTTTCTTCTCTAAAATTGTCTCGTTTCACCTCCTTTCCTTCTCTCTTGCAATGTTCTGTCGTCTGCTTTCGTCTCCACTTTCTGCCCCCAACCCCTCACCTCCTTTGCCCCCTCCCCTGGGCTCCTGACTCTTTCTACTGCTGCTTCTTGGCTCCTTCTTACTGCTGTCTTTCAGACACACTCCCCTGATCTTCTGGTAATAAAGATCTACACCTAGCCTTCTCGGACAAGGGCGAAAAATTTCGGAGGTCCTGTGTGCAAGTTGCACACTTTAAAGATCCCTTGGTGGTCGAAAATCGATAAGAGTTGGCTTCGGCTGCCCGCCCCCCCCGGGCAAAATTCAGAATTTCCTACCAACTGAAGATGTTTAGTGTGTCCCATGCACTTATATGACCTATGCAGTTGCGAGCACCGTAAAACACTTGCAAAAAAAAAGGAAGCAGAACCTGTTTAGGGGGCTCTCGTGGCCTAGAGATTAAGGTGTTGGCCTCTCTGTCAAAGGTCCTGGGTTCAAATCCAGTTAGCGACGGGTGGGTAGCGATGGAAAATTTTCTTCTCTAAATTTGTCTCCTTTCACTTCCTTTCCTGCTCTCTAGCAATGTTTTGTCGTCTGCTTTCGTCTCCACTTTCTGTCCCCGTCCCCTCACCTCCTTTGCCCCCTCCTCTGTTACTCTTTGGCTCCTTCTTACTGCTGTCTTTCAGAAAAACTCCTGATCTTCTGGTACTGGTAGGAAAGGTCTACACCTAGCCTTCTCGGACAAGGGGGAAAAATCTCGGAGGTCCTGTGTGCAAGTAGCACTCGTTAAAGATCCCCTTTTGGTCTAAAATTGATGAGAGCAGGCTTCGGGTGCTACCCGAGCAAAACTCAAAATTTCCTACCAACTGAAAATGTTAATGTGTCTCGTGCGCTCAATGACCTTATGCAGTTGCGAGCGCCGTAGAACACAAAAAAAAAAAAAAGAACCTGTATAGCCTACTTTCTGGTACATTTATGTAGCTGTTCAGAAGTGCATTCTTTTTTGCTTTTAACTGTCTACTGTTTGTACAGTGCTCGAATCTAAATCTAAGCCTAAATGCACAGTTTATTTTCATTCACATTGATATTTAATTTACATACAGTTGAGCGCAGATTAAACCCAAATACGAAAAACTCAAATGCATAGATAGATTGAGCAATAAAAACCATTCCCTGACTGAACTGCTATATATTTTCTTGTATTGACAACACATTATTCTTGAACACTCACACAGATGTGTCAAATAGCTCGTCTAGAAAAGCCTAATCAAAATTTTCCTCACTGTTGTCTTGAAATGAAATCACCCTGCACACACTATGGAAAACAACACACCCATCATCATTGAGAATGGGGTTAAATAAGCAGACCAGGCTCACTTCACACTGCTTTAATCAAGATGTATTATCACACACCTGTAGCGTGCATAAGGCGCTCAAACTTTCTTGAATCTAGTCATGTGAGGGTGGGCAGTGGGTGGGATCAAAGACCAACAGTATGATGCTGCATTCAGTTCCATGGTGTTTATAATATGTTAGTGGGCATATATGTGTGTGGTTGTTTGAATGTGTAGGTATGGATCTGTAATTGATTACAGAAGAGGGGTAGATGGCAACATTCTCTGACCAGTGTTTGTTACATAATCATGATTGTGATCTGATGTAAGAGCAATTTTTTCTCTTGGTCTTAAAGCTCACAAACATCACGTCCTTCCTTTCTCTTGTTTTGACCCTGAAAAAGGTGCACGCACAATCCATCTATCATTTTATTGATACCGGGTACAAAATGTGAAATTGCATAGGTTTAATTTAATAATAATAGATAGCATTTGTATAGCGCATATCCCCGCTCAACAGCAGGCTCTATGCGCTTTACACTATATTATTACCCCAGCAGACCATAGAACACTCCGAAACATTCTCAGCTTCCTGGGAAGCATACAGTGCAAGCAGCCGATTAAGCGCTCAAACACTAACAAATTGACAAGATCTTTTGCTGTCTATAGCCGGATACCCATTCCCACCTGGGTGAAGTGAGGAAATTCGTTTAAAGTGCCTTTCCCAAGGACACAACGTCCGGCCCTTGACGGGATTCGAACCCACGACCTTACAGTTGCGAGTCCGAGAGCCTAACCACTAGGCCACCGACGCCACTTATCGCCTTGAGGACATTTAATTCCATCTCTGCGCGATGGGCATACTGCCCTAATGATTCACTTCAGTGTTGGGCTCTAGGCCTCTGTTCTTTTTAGTGAGAAACAATATCACGTACTATTCATGGCTAAAGAGCACTTGATTTTAGGTATGCAATCGTGTTATTTTTTAGCCTAACTTGTGACTGAATTTGTAAGCATCAACGATCTTTCTCTGTTCACAGGTCAGAATACTGGAAGTCAGTTCCGAGGAAATTTTGTGAATTTTGCAAGTGCTGGATAACAGATAACAAACCGGTACCCATATCTGCATCACAGTCTTTTCTGCTTTTTTATTTTGTTTTCTTGCTTCTTGTGTGCAGATTTTAATGACAAATAGTGGAGTCTGCTTAAATCAAATTCAGTAGTACTGCTGGATTTTCTTCATTTCTGCCATATTTTTTGGTTTAGAGAGATTGCTTGAATAGTGCAGAGAAAAAATGGGTGATTTTATTTTCTTTCGGTTTACTGCTGTTTTTGGTTTAAAATCCATGTCAGTTTAAGCGGACTCCACTGTGTGCGTAATGGATATTAAAATATCTGTGTGTAATTTTATGATATTAATTAATGAGCTGTCTTTGAATCCAGTTAAATCTGGGTGCTACCCTTTAGATTATTGATAGTAGAGGTTGTTTTTTCTGGGATTTTCTTAAACTTCAGAAATCTTTGATAGTCATTGGAATTGGTCATGATATGTCGAGAAATTTGTGTGCTGTTATTGTAAGCAAATGCTCATACCTGATCTTTTTCTTAAATTTGAAAGTTTGTAATATTAGGGAACAAAATACATCATGTACATTAATTTGAAGTTGCAAATGTTTTACAAGCAACAAAATCCCATCTATAGTTCTTTTAAAAGTTACACTGCGCGGAGGGCTCTAAAGTAGAGACTTTTTTAAAAACAATTTCTTAAGAGCTCGGAAGTATGAAATCAAGAAATACTATTGGTTGAATGTGTACTACTAAGAACTTTACTCTGGCTTGTTTTCTGTTGCAGAGTGTAGAATTTCATGAACGTGGAAAGCGCCATCAAGAAAATGTTCAACTACGTCTCAAAGAGGTAACTGTATGTTTTGTGGTTTTATCAGTAGATTTTCTTGGACTTAATGAGGTAGAAGCAACATCGAAGATGGGGTCCAATGTGTGTAGGGCGTTTTGATGTTAAAAAAAGATTTGAATCAAAATCTTGACGGTCAAACCGGTTTGATATTTTTTTAAAGAGTCATCAAATTTTTTATGCGTGTGTGAGTAGTTCCTGTAAAAATTTTGATCAAACTTTTATATTTCGCAGGTGACCGCCGAAGAGATAAGGTCATATCTGCTTCTCTTTTACTCTCTCTTTCTCCACTTCTTTCTCTCTCTTTCCTTAATCTCTTCCGTTCACCTCTCATCCTGCTCAATCGCCTCCTCTCTCTCTCCTATATTTCCCTCTTTCTCTCTTTTGTGACCTTTCTTTCTCATATGATAGCACAAATCAAACCGAGTTTTCTATTTTTCCTGCTTTTTTCTGTTAATCAAAATGTTAAGTGAAGAAAAAATTAAAAAAAGACCCCCCCCTATAATTTCCCTAGCAGCCCCCCCCCCCCCCCCCACCCCTCCCCTACATCTCTCGATTTCCATTTGTTTACATGTCGAAGATTTCGACAATACTGAATTTTGATGGAAAAAACACTGAAATGTGTGTGGGCAATTGTGCATCAAAATTTGTATTTTTAAAACATGTATGGGCCACTTAAATCTGTCTTTACTTTTTTTAGGGGGCATTCACCACAATGTTTTGAAGCATTTAATGCTTTCTTTCTTTTTATCTTATGAAAAATATGAGATTTAGAATGCTTTTTAAACAGTTTTGCTAATTTCTTACTTGTAAATTAGAATTTAGAATCTATTTCACAACAAAAAACCTAAATAATCATTGTATGGTACATTTTTGTCAAACGATAATAGCTGGTTGGTGGGTGTTTTCCTGTGTTTGGCTCCTTCCTCTTCTTTTTATTACTAATTGTTTAAACCTTTCTTGGAGAAATGGGGTCATTATGATGCTCCTTCATGTAAACGTCAGCTCTGGTGAAGCATTTAATTTTATTTAATTGAGGAGATATATTTTGATTGAATTGTACAACTTTTGCTGTATCTAATGTCTAATCATCATACTAAGTACTGAAGTCTCTTTTTGTGCTTTGCTAATATTTAGGTCCGGAAGAAAAGTCTCAAAGACTCGGCAGAGCAAGAAGAAATGGACAAAGCAATGGAGAAAATGGAAAAGGTCTGTGCTTCATTAATTTTATCCAATCAAAAATGTTCAGTTAAATGTGCAAATTACTTATTGCATATGTAAATTACAGATGTTTTTTCATTATGTACGAAGCCCAGTAGGCAATTCTTTCTCCTAAGTTTCTGTTGCGCTACTGATGCGAAAAATACAGGGGAGTCTGCTGAAACCAAAATCTGTGGGAGGGCGGGTTATTCTTTGGTTAAGCTGGGTTCATGGTTTAGAGACTGCTGCTCAAATAGTGATGACTGTTGACAAGCCTAGAGTTGGGAATGCTATGCTTGTAGCAAATTTCACTTTTTGAAACTTTTTTCTCATCTTGTTCTTTCAGTAACTTCAATTTAAGCTGTATGCTGTAGGCATTGCTTTCTCTTTGAGTTAATTTGTAGAACAGTCACACAGAACAGACGAAAGAGCCTACAGAGAAGCAAGAAAGAAAGCCCACTGCCAGTGATGTCATGATGTCATGAAACACATCACTTGCTGTCAATGTGCTCGTGTGTAGTGTAAGGCCCACGTGGACTAGCTTTGCAGAGACAGTAGGCCGTGACCAACCATTGGTCGCCCAACAGATATACACTTACTGTCTTTGTGTTTGCCTCTATGCAGTGTGTAGGCCATTTGATGTGTGTGATAAACGTAGATAAACAGTATTCCTGCGATGTCTCTCTTTGGCCGGCAATCTACACATGCATTCTTGTGGTTTTTTTGGGGTTTTTTGTTTTTCTATCTTTGAGTAAGTAAGATTAGATTATTTGCATTACTTGAGGGTTGCTTTTGAGGATGAGGACGACATAATTCTTGAAATTCGTTTAGAAATGGGGCATCTCAGCTCATGGATAGTTTTCTTACAAAGACGAAGAAAAAAAAAGAGGAATTTTATTTTCTTTCAATTTACCACTGTTTTTGGATTAACCTTGTTTGGTTGTAGCAGACTTCACTGTCGTGGAAAAAGAACAAGATATTTTCAAGGGAGGTAGCAAATGGAAGGGGCTGGTTCTGAAAAGAGAAGAGACGAGTGCCATAAGCAAGTTATGGGCTGTTTTTATTTCCCTGTCCAAATTCTAACATTGGGTTAGTGTAATGTTTTTGTTGAAGTCATTCCAGTGCATTTAACCTCTTTTCGGAGCGAATACTTTAAATTGAATTTGTGTGTCTATTTCAATGTGTGACCTGTTTCAGATGGTTAAACCTACAGTCAAACTTGCTGAAATGACTACTGGTCCAAGACAAATATACACTTCTCACTTCCCCCTGTTTAAAAAAAAATCGATATATTTTAAAGACTCCTAAAATGTCCCCCTGTCTAGGACAACCACTTTTTTCCTTGGCAATGGACAATTTTGATTGTACACTATTTGGACTTTTATGTTTCATTAAATTTTCTCCACAGGCTGCATTAGAAGCATTCAAGAAGGATTTGAAAGAGAACCCAGCTCTGGCTGCTCAGTACGGTGTGTCACTGGAACAAAAGCCCTCAGCGAGTAATTTCAGTTTGATTTTCCTACAAAATTTATCCGTGGCTGTGTTCAAAAGTCACTTTCAGTTTGAGTTTTCTTGTGAAAGAAACAAATTTATGATAATTGATATATACACTACTTAAAATCGAAAAAAATTATTCATGGCTTTGCTCACCACAGTCTGTCCACAAGTTTTTTAAATGAATATTTAAACAGAGTGATTTATTATTTGTGTAATTTATTGTCCTTCATAGTGGCAGAGGTCTTTGAAGTTTTTTTAATTCGTGAAAGGCTGAAATCATTTCACGAGGAGTTGGAGAAATTGCTCTCATGTCTTGTACTTTTTCACAATGGAGAAGATGGTGGATGTTATACTGTGGACAATTTTACATGCCTTGTCTTGTTCTAAGGTAAAAGCTCACTGCTCAATATCCTTAGCTGAGTCAGACTGGCGTCTGTGGTGTTGTAGTTAAGCATTTGTCGTCGCACGCGGAAGACCCAAGTTCAATTCAATTCTCGTTTGGGGAGAATTTTCATTGAGTATCTCGGTCTTTCTGCTTGGATGTTGCGTCCCTCTCAACCTGGATTGGCCCTCACAGGTAAGTTCGAAGCCCACGTCATGTATGATCTAAATTGTGTCGATAGATGCATGAAACACCCTACCTTTTTTTCTTTAACCCTGTCCGTTCCGCCTTGGGTCATTTTGTACCCCCACACGGCTGTTCCCGAGTGGAGCACTTAGTTACCTGAGGAACTGACCTGGTCAACCATGCCGTGCCCGGGTGGTCATGGAGGTCACTTTGACCTTTGCTCTACGAGTAAACTGTTGTGACTTAACAATTTTTTTACAATTCAATTGCTTTAACGTGGCTTTTCCCATAAACAAATCAATGTGAAATTATTATCAACAAATAGAGGCATTCTTGGACTACAGCAAATAACTTTTTATTGATATTCTTAGCAAGGCACCTTTTAAAACATGGGCGCAATAGAGGGCATCTAAGAGAACATTTTTTACGTGGGTCTACTTTTTAAAATCATGATATTTTAAAATTTGTACACCAGATCTCTAAAATAATCAGTGGTATACAACAGTGACATGATGAGCTTTCAGAAACATTTACTTTTGGCTTGATTCATTCAGAAATGGGAAACTTGTAGAATATTTACTACTGTCCAATTAATGAAACGAAAGATTTTTCATTGTCTCCTCACAGTTTTCAGAAATGGGGATTCACTGCTATCCAATTCCATGACACAAGAGTTTACTTGTTGTATTCTCACAGCTAGAGCTGCTTTCACATTCACAAACACATAACATATGATAACTCATAACAATATTGCAAAAGTGTCTTTGAGTTCAAAGGCTAGTTGTCTTCCTCTTTTTTCCCTTTTCAAGCTGCTGGCATGGACACATTATGCAGTCTGTGGGTCTCAATAACAGCTTTCAACTGTGTCCCTTTTCCCTTATTCCCACTGTCCTCTTCTCCAGTTTTGCGATGCTGGAGTGCACAAGTTCGTCATCTTGCTCGCCCATTAAACCCAGGCAAAATCCATATCTTTTAATAAAAGGCAGACAGATAGAGTTGCTTCTCGAACTTGTTTCCTTAAGCAGTAATTGCGCTGCACACATTTGTTGCACAGTTTTCAGGGACGTGTGTCTGCACAAGATCTATCCGTGTCCACATTTACGCGATAGAATATGAGTAAGTCATTTTTAAAATTTACACAAAAATATCTGCCCTGGTTTGCCTTCTTAGCCTTTTTAATTCTGGCCCTTAATGTTCTACACAATTTTTTAAACACTGAAGGTGTAATTCGCGGATGTGTTTCATTTTCACTCTTGTAACAGACTGTCCTAGCACTTGTTCTCATAAAGAATCCGCAAAAGTGATACCGGGACCTCGGGTGAATACCGCACGCGGTGACGCTGCGGTCGGGAAAATATAACAAGGTGAAGTAACAAAAGTCGCCGTCCTGCTAAAGTTTTCCAGTGAATCTAAACCATTTTTTCACAAATAACTTCCATACTGACTCTTGATACGGCAGAACAAAAAATGATAACAATCTGCGTTTCATGAAAGGAAAAAAATCCTGATCTTTGTAACAATCCGAGAAATACGTGCGCCACAAGGTAGGGTTAAGTACAGAGGTAGTGTGTGTACACGCTCAGACCTAGAAATAAACTAAAGGATGTGGCTTATTGGGGAGAGTCTGGGATTTCATTTGATACCTCACACACCCATAGTGAAAGATAAGAGAGGACATTTACAGGGGTTTAAACCAAGAGAAAATAACAGACTTTCTACCCGAAATCGGCTAACAGCGCTATCGCCCAGGAAACGATGCGTTTCCCGACTGTCAGGTGGGACTTATGACCCCGTGAGGTCAGCAGAGGGGTTAAAACTAAGTGCTCTGCGAGGATAGTAGAACTGAACAGCCGTGCACCGGGTTGTATTCTTCACATTTTAGAATACTTTTAGTACGAAGATCTCTTTGAAACTTTAGGTATTTCTCAAAAAATCATTTTGACAGACTGCTATGCAAAGCGTACGGATCGGATTAACGAGTAAATGTCCTCTTTGGAAAGTGGTGGCACAGAGTTCTCCGCGTCGTATGGATATCATATGATGATAGTAAAACTGGACGTACGGATGTGGTTAATCTCACCAGACATCATTCATAGGGTTCTTTTTTGCTTGGCTTGCTTATATTGGCATAGTGGCATAGGTGTCTGTTCTTACTGTGTTGGTTGCTCAGTTGTTCAGCCATTCCTCCTTTGACTTCACCATGTGATGTACTAACTCTTCTGAAAGATGGATGGATACATGAATATATTGTAATGCTTTCTGTTGATCTTTTATTATATTCCAAAAGATATGTCTCAATTTTTTCTCAGAGTCTGAGACAAAAGACAATGAGTCAAAGGACAAGTCAGGGGAAACCAGTAAAGCAAAGAAAAGGAAGATTCCAGAAGTTAAGGAGTGGTATGAAGCAGTTTCTCCAGAGGGTTATCATTACTACTGGAGCACTGTGACTGGAGGTATGCTCGTTGCCTATGGTACTTAGATTAGATATTTGGCTATCCTAGAATTACAAAGTTCTATCTGCCCAGAACCTAGGTTTTAGAAATTGGACGTAAAAAGTTCTTGAGTTTTGCATCATGTCAAGCTTTTTCGAATGCAATTCTTTGAATATCATGGTAATGACTCCGAATTATCTTATGATTTTGATAGAGCAGATACTACATTCGTGTCATGGCACGGTGGAATCAGGCGCTTGTCAATTTTTGGCCTTGTAGAGTTATTGGTATCATCTTAAAGCACGTTTATTTGTCTATCAATCTATGAAAATATTAACCATTGATCTTGAATGGTAGTGAGTATATTTGCCATCAAAGTTCGGTTATTTAACTTGAGTGTCCTTGGAAACTGAAAATTGACATCATTTGTGCCTTTAATCAAAGTTTTTCCTGTGAATGCCACACTGAAATGTATTTTTAATTAGACATAAAAGATATTTAACCAGAAAGCAAAAATTTGAGAAAAATTGCTAGACCGGCGGAAAAATGCAATGTATGTTCGATTTTATCATTTTGACGAGAGCCTGATTTTGCCACGATGCCTCACATTTGTTTTCTGACCCCATGGTCTTAGTAAGTCAAAACGGCCAAAAATATCAGAAAGAACTTTGAAATTCCAGATGACAGTTGCCATGTTTGTAGTATTTTGGGTTTAGATTCACATTTCTTCAGTGCAGACAAGTTTCTCTGACTGGGGCAGTCAGCCTCTCTAACAGTGACTTTGCTTGTGACCTCAGACCTGAACCTAAGATTTGACTCGATGCTTGTCAACCTTTGTACAACCAGCGCCCACTTTTGCCAGCTTCAGGAGGCTAAGATGTTCGTACCGTCCACCCACATGTATTTCCAAGTGGAGCATTAAATAATAGCTGTTAACACCCGGGTGATCCCTACACCCACGAAAATATCCAAATCTCCTTCTAGTTGGCGATATCGCTCAGGTTGGCAAGCACTGGTTCAGCTAGTGAGGGACCCAGTCCACCTGATGAGCTCATAGTGCTCCAGAACCTGCAGCTGGCACAAACTATCAAGGGTTTGTCCTCGCTTGACAGCCTCCTGACAACAAAAGACTTCCACAGCATCAAGGCTCTGATCGTGTCTGTCAATATCAGTGAGAATTGCTAATTCTCTAGACTTATGCAGTTGCAAACGCCATAAAACCTCTACTAAAACTAAACTAATTCTCTAGTGTATGAAAATCACAGTGATAGAAGCAAAAATGTATATATGTTTAACACTCCTTGCAACACGTGCCCTCTAAATTTAATGTCCAGCTCTAATAGGACACAAATCAGACCTAGCTTAGCCTGGAGCCCCTGAGCCTGCAATCTCACGATTACAAGTCCAGTAGCCTAACCACTAGACTACTGATTACTGATGCTCACAGCCTATGCTGTCACATCTGTTTGTATGAAAATAGTACACAACTTAGTGAAAGTAAACAGCAGAAAGCATAAAGGGTACAGTGACCGTTGTTGTAGTCGTATTGATTTAATGTAAACTATGATTTGACTCTTACTCCAATCAAAATTGTCCAAGATGGCAACCCATTGTGGAGAATTAAGGGCTGGTGGGTCACCAAGAAATCTTGTTTTCCATAGCAACCGATTCAAAATATACTTTTTGAACTCTTAATTTAAAATCCCCAATAACACACAATGTCTCACAGCAAATATGGGCACTCTAGGCCTTGTACCGGTAATAGCCAAAATAGACCTCAGGTGCCCCACCAGCCCTTTGACAGTGTCATTATAGTATTTTAAAAAATACATGGAGGGGGGGGGGGGGAGTGTGATGTGGTCCTTTGCAGAAGTGCTTGTCTTGGATAGGTGGCTGTCAGGGTAGGTTCGACTGTGTCTTTGTGAGATTTTTGGTTGTTATTTGTATTACTACTACTATGACTACTGTTATTGTGTCATTATTGCACATGTTATTGTATTATTATCATTATTTTTGTTATTATTTTCATCATTATTATTTTGTAAAAACTGTTATTATTGGTTTTTTTCTTTCTAGAATCAGTATGGGAAGCTCCAGAAGACTTTGTCTCATTGGCTGACCAAGAAAAGCTGGCCAGTGTGTCTAAACAGGAAAGTGGGGAGAAGACGGAGGGAGCTGAAGACAAAGACGTGAGTCTTATCTTGAGATATTTTGTGAAAGTACATTCAATTTGTTTTATGGCATTAAAGACTTGAAATTGTTGGTTGTTGAATGCCATACTTTCATTTTAAATATAAGGATGAAGCAAGCGAAAGGAGAAAATGAAGCTAAGCTGGGATTAGTGTGGCAAAAAGTTGTGTAATCTTGTGGATGTTTTGTTAGAGTTATATCACTTTTGTATAAGCATGATGAGACTTGTGTGCAGTTTATTTTTTGCTTGGGGGTTCCGTCTCATGACCAGAGCGAAATTGGACTTGCTTTCTGTTGGATATTTTTCCTTTTCTTCTGCTTTTGTTCTTATTAAAGTGCATGCCACTTGCTGTACATTTGCTTTTTGTTTAACTTTTTACTTTGCTGATTTCAAACAATTTTGGTAAATTCTTGCAAAGTTGCGAAGCTAAAGAAGTTTTATACTCTTTTCATTGTGTGGGGCACCTAGAAATTGTGTTTTGAGGTGAAATTTTGCTTATTGGGTTTATTACATATTATAGTACCTGGACATTTCCTGAACAATATCCAGAAATGGATGTAAGCCTTGCTACATCCTAAAGCTGTGTTTTTTTGTCAGGTTTTTCTGCGAAAGCCCTTGTTTTCTAGCCTTTTCTTACCTGTATTGGCTGTTTTCTCACAGTTTTATTTTTTTCTCCTATTATCCCATTTTTCTGCTCTGTTTCTTGTTCAATTTTAATGTAACTTTCGCAGGATTCCAACAACACCTAGTTCTAAATTTTGGCTTGTTGAATTTTTGATTAATGCTGCAGTTTTGATTTATGGGCTTAGGAAGCATGAATTTTCCATTTTTTTCACCTTTTTTTCAACATCCCAATTGTAAGTATCATAAAATAAAAACTAAAGCATTTATCAAAAATTCAACAAGCCAAATTTAAGACCTACATATTTACTGTTGGCATGTCAAATTAGAAGTGAATCGGTTAATAAATAAGGGAATAAAATGGGATTGAAAAAGGTGTACAAAATACAATATGGCCGCCGTTTCCATAGCAACCGATTCACAATATACTTTTTGAACTATTGATTTAAAATCCCCAATAATACACGATGTCCCACACCAAATATGGGCACTCCAGGCCTTGAAATAGCCAAAATAGACCTCAGGTGCCCCACCAGCCCTTAAGCTTTTGGAAAGAAATATGGCAGCTTAAGTATTTGAAAAGCATAATATAGTTCTGAGATTTATTTAGCTAATGTTGTCTTTCACACTGAAAGTAAGAAACATGATGCATGTCAGAATAAGCTTGAAAATTGTATGAACATTATTGGCCTTAATTGTCGGAAATGATCTTGAGATTTATTTACATAAATGTATGTTTGTGGCGTTACAGAAGGAAAAACCACAATGAGATTGAGATATATATATGTCATTACATTAATTGTTAATTTATTTGCAGTTAGAATGTTGCTTACAGACCTTTGTTAGTTTTAACAATTACGTCATATTTAATAATACATCTACATATTTTATATTGTCACATTGCTATTTATGAAAGTGAATTTCTCTTTGTAAATGCTGGAATTTTTTTCTTTGTTTGAAGGCAACCTCTTCAAAAGAGACAGAGACAGCAGCAACATCAAGTCGAGTGGACCCTTGTTTTAGTCGCTCTGCGTATGGTGCGTGGGAAGTTGTCAAGGAAGAATCGTAAGTATCAAAGAATTTAAAGTGTTTGTCAGAGGTAGACCTGCATGTGAGCCTCAACCAGATTGTCTGAAAATTTTGCGCAACCCCCCCCCCCCCCCCTCCCAAAAGAGCTTTTGTTGGTGTCATAAGGAAGGACTTCCGAGTAACGAGCGACCACCCCAACAAACACAACAAAGAAGAGACCTAACCCTACCCCTACCCCTAGGCCTACCCCAATAAAGAACCTGCAACGAGCCTCATGTGAAAAGGCCAGCACGAGTCCAAAATGAAAAATATTTTTAAAATTAAAAAACCACACTCCAAAACAAACAAGGCTTACAAGGAGCATAATATAATGGCCTACATCTACATATTGCTAGATCTACAATAATAGGGTTTGATACAATAACACAATAGAATTGGAATACGAATCCTCCACATAGATCTAGATCTAGGTCTAGTAAACTAAATAAATCTACATCTAGATCTAGAAGAACAAGTGAATAGGATCTAGGAATAGGCCTTAAACTAGAAATCCGCATCCGATTCCGAACAGAGGGGCTCAGCTGAGTCTAGATTCTAAATAAATAAATAATTCACGCACCTGATGAAATGCCTTTTACCAACATTAATATTACAGCACAACCTTTGATAGGGTTTGACAAAATAGAATTGGAATATGAATCCTCCATTGAGGTCTATAATGATCTATATAAATCTAGATCTAGATCTAGATTCTATTATCTAAGTGAGTCGGACTGGAATGAATCCACACGATCTGAACAATTGAATTTGTCAACAAAACGAAATTCAAAATGGCCGCTCGAGCACGAAACTGAAAGTAGATAATTTAGGTCGTCGTCTTTTTTCGTATTCGCATTTCTACTCAGGTTCCGACAATTATGTCGGAAACGCCGACGTCGGCAGTCGGCTGTGCGCGCGTCGGCGGTCGGCACGAAAACGAAAGTGCCGACAAAGCCGACGGGAGAAAAAGGGGGCGCTGGCAGTCGGCCAGGCCTCGCACTACGCACATTGACTGATACAGGTGGGCCTAGCGATAGCATCGGCCGCCTAGCGGGTCGGGTCGCGATTGTCGGATTTCAGACGATTGTCGGCAAACATGCAGGTCTACAGAGGTGCTGATTTTAAGGATTTTATCTGGATTTTCTGGATTTCTAAAATTGTTCAGATTTTATTTTTTATTTGCACAAAGTTCAGAGTTTTTTTTGGTAGCCAGAAGAATTGAGTCCCTTCACTGCTTGGTCATCTGTGCATGCTGCGTTTGCATTTAAAAGTCAAGCTTGGGAAAGCAAAGGCTTAGAAATGAACACATATTTGGAAAGGGGATAGTGTATTAGATAACTGGGGTTGAAATCGGTCTGACTTCAGTTAATTTCTTTTAAAAATTTTAAATATATGAGCATAAAATTTTGTTGTTTTCATCATGCTGGCAGTTTGCATTTGAAGAGCTCTTATAAAATATGGTGTCTAGACTGCCATTGCTACAATTTTTCGCTTAGGTGGAGCTGACGTCTATGGTGTTATGGTAAGGCTTTTCGGTTTTAAATGCCGCAGACATAGGATGGATTCCCAGTGAGGGAATTTATGGAGTATCTTTTTCTGCCAATGCTGTGTTCCACTCACCTCACGTTAGCCCTGAGAGGCAAGGCTGACACACACGCTCAAAAAAAGAAAATAAATGTAGATGTTTTTACACCCACATCAACACAATGCAGATTATTTAGGTTTTTTAGACCCTATCTGTCAGTGCGAATAGGGGCTGAGACAGAAACAACATTCCAGCGGAAAGACCCTGATGCTTGATAAAAATTCTCCCCACTCGGGTCCCCTGTGTGCAATGACAAAGCGCTTAACCAGTTCACCCCAGATCCGGAAAGGTTCAAACTGCCCATCTCTCAATGATCTAAGATGTATTGATAGGGGCATAAAACATTTACAAGCAATATGTTGATGTCCAATTTGAGTTATTTTGCTCAAAGCAATAAATGGGCCTACCCCATCTTTATCTTACAAGAACCTCAGTTCCTATGGTAGCTAAATTATATTTAGTATTTTCTTTGAAATCATTAAAATAAACAGAGAAGCATAATTCCTACAATGTCATTTTAAGAGGATTCCTATGCACTAGTTTACGGAGTCAAATAATCAGGAACCTATTTTTTTTTTCAAGATAAAAATGAAATATACAATGTGTGTATGATTTTCTAAAGATCAGTGATAAGTTAGATGTTTTTCAAGAGAAAAATGACAAGTTGTTAAATATATATATATATATATTATCTCTGTAATTTTCAGACAGCCAACAGTTTACGACGAGTCAAGTGCTCCGCCTGATTTGGAAGACATTCCTCTACCAGATATCCCAACTGTGAAAGAAACAAAGCCAGAAAAGCCAAAGTTTAAAGAAAAGACAGTTACTTCCTTAGGCTCCGGTCAGAGCGGCCCCGTGGCTTTTAAGAAAAGAAAGATTGCATCTGGTGCTAGGAATGTACGTCAGAAGGGAAATGATGACTGAGCCTGTGAGATTGAAGGGAATGATTGTAAGATTGTCAGCAGGCTGTTCAACTGTTAAAGGCCCAGAAAGCAAAATTTTTCAGGCAACTGAAAAAAACCCATTCTTTTAACAGTGTTGCTAACATTATTATGTATCTTCTCTTGCTTTTTTTATCAACTTTTGGAATATGAAAATTTTGACAAAATATTTCTCGAGCACATGCAACCTATGCCACAGATTAAGAAACAACAAGAAAAAAAAAAAAGAAATTTTAGGCTGCGTAAATATGAACAGCAGGTTGTCGGTATAGTGAGAATGGGGGCGTAAATGACACTTTGTTGAGGTAACATTTTATACACTTTGATTCCACTAGTAGTAAACTGGCGTTGGTGGGGACTCGCAATGATAAGGTCGTGGGTTTGAATCCCGTTAGGGGCCCGACGTTGTGTCCTTGGGAAAAGCAGTTTGCACGAATTTTCCTCACTTCACCCAGGTGGAAATGGGGTACCTGGCTATAGACAGTGAAAGATCTTGTCAGTTTGTGAGTGTTTGAGTGTGTGAAATCCGCAGCTTGCACTGTATGCTTCCTGAAAAGCTGAGAATGTTTCAGAGTGTTCTAGGGTCTGCAGGGGTAATAATAATTGTAAAGTGCATCAAGAATGCTGTACAGTGTGTTGAAAAGCAGAATTTAAATAAAACTTGTATTTTTAATTTCCAGCTGTTTTGAATTTTTTTGTTTAGATTTGGACCACCTATATATCCAGAATTTCTGTGTAGAAAAACTATGTAATGTATTTGCTTGAACTTTTCCATTTCTTTTACTTTTACTTCCCACAGAGTACTTGTGTTGGGGCTTGTTGTGTTTGGTGTGATAAGTTGTCATTTCAACATGTTCACTTGACTGGTAAAGTAAGTGTAATGATTAATGCTCCTATCAACAATATTAGGTTATTTAAGAGGCAGGACTTCTGAATTTGACGTCCATCTCCGATAGGACCCAGCCAAATGGGTTGAGAGCCATGAAAGCTCCACAAAATGACCCGAGTTCAAGAACGTCCAGTTTGGGATTTGAACTACGGCCATCCGCTCCGTAGTCAAGCATAATACCAATTGAGCTGACGGAGCCCTCCACTTCACTGCATCTACTAAGAAAAGCGAATACTCAAAATGAAACACATTTTACAGGTTGTGGTCAATTTGCATATATATATATGCAAGGCATAGGGTAGAAACTCTAGATAGATAGGAGTGATATCCCTCCCTGGTGACTTTTATACATACCCACCTCTGAAAAGACAACAATATTGCCAAAAAAGGCATGGATCTTTGTATGTAAATTCAGTCCTCCAACTTCCCACAACAATGAGAACTGGTGGAAAATCGCCCAAGCTGAAATCCTATCTACACAAAGTTGCCCCGGCGGACTACCCAGATCCGTCCTGTGGAGCGTGCAGGGAGGACGAGGAGACCATGGACCATGTGTTCGTTTTGTTTTAGTAGAGGTTTTAAGGTGCTCGCAACTGCATAAGGTCATATGAGCGCCAGACCATGAGTTTCTGAAATGTCCCGCCAACTATCATGCCAGAACACGTCTGCTGGGATATTTCAGTGACCCATGTTCAGCACATTTTAAGGATCCTGAGCAAGTGTTGAGTTCCTGCGTGCTGTCGGCATCACTGACCGCTTATGATGCCACAGCGCAGAGAGAGGGAGAGAGAGAGAGAGAGGGAGGGAGGGAGGGAGAGAGAGAGAGACGGAGATTCTAACAACTACGGATGAGTAAATATGCATCTTTATTTGGTCTACTTTATACATGAATAGTACACATTGATCACAAGTAGTGCTTACTCTGGTGGCATTTGTGTTAGAAATGAACATTTTTGAAAAATATGAACAAAGAACAACACAGCTTGATGACATGACCGGACATAATGAAGCTGATGAAATGAAACTTAAAAAATGATACATGTACTGTCTAGCATGCACATAGCGAACACGCATACAGACAAACACGCACATAGTGGACAGATGTTTCAATCCCAACCTTTTTCTTATGCATGTACGGTAAATTATTTGTATTTAAAACGCGTTCAAAGCGTAATCATACATAACGGAAAGATTCCTGCATCCCGCCGATTTTGCTATGTACATGCTAGACTGTGTAATGTTTGGCATTTAAAAGTTTGAAATAAAATGTGGGAGAGATATGATTTTAAAAAACCATGAGGAATGCAAGGTGTATGGTCTCTTGAGTAAATATAAACTTAAACAAACCTGCCACACCTGCTGCATTTCATTTTCTAACCAACATATGAATTATCCAAAAGACCAGACGCTGACAAATACACCTTTGTCTCTGGTCACATGTTCCTGGACTTGTTGGGATCCATTAAATTAATTTCAATGTTGACCTCAATATATGAAAGTTTAGAAAGTCCATGTGAGGTTCACATTTTTCTCCTCTTTAGTGTTTAATTTTAGTAGAGTTTTACAGCACTTGCAATATGAAGAGGTCATACAAGTGTCGAAGATTAGAGGTGTTACTGGAGAATCATACCAAGCAAATAAGGGGAGACAAGGGCGATCAAACCATACCAGAGTACCTGCCAACCACCCACTACTCCTCTCTGATAGAGAACTTCATGCCCTGCTTTTACTTTTAGAATAAGCTTTTCTACCTAAGTAAGTATGCAAACTTCAAAAGTGCAAAACACACTGTGAAGGACTTAAGCAGAAATATGTTTTAATTTATTCGGCTTCCCAGTTGTGATGGACACTGTGGGCCCTAGAGTGCAGTTGGTCATAAAACGTAACCAACAAGCAAATGTTGGGGTTGGAATTTACAAATGTAACTGTGAGATATTTTACATCCTCATCAACACAATTTAGATCATTAATGAAGTGGGCTGCTTCCATCTCAGTTGAGTGGGATACAGCATCTTTTCAAAAAAATAAAAATGTCGAGGTGTTTTCATGCCCCTGCTGACACAATTTAGACAATTTAGGAGGCGGGCTTCAACACTGCCTGTCAGGGCCAACCTAGGCTGAGAGGGATACAATACAACATCCCTGCTCAAGCCTGCTGGAATGCCGGGACATTCTATTAAAAAAATTCTGCACGCTGCAGCGAAGCAGACGATACACAGCATCCTGGTAGATGGAGGAGATTTTTTTTTTTAAAAAGCTTCCCCACTTGCAAATTGAACTCACTTTCACTGCATGCCAAGGCAAAGAACCTGACTACTACACCACAGGCACTGGTAAATTGGGGTTGGAATCCACATACAGTGGAATCTTTCTGTCATTCTGAGAACACTTTTCCCCCTAAGTCCACAGTCTGATGGGGAAGTAAGTGCTCCACCCTTTCGCATGACCTACTTAGCATACAGTCTAGTACGCACATAGCAAACATATAAATAGCAGAACATGCACATGATACAAACAAATTTTCAGGTCTCAATTTTTTTCTTACACTTATACATGATACATGTATAGGGCTATATATTCTTTGTATATTTCACATACATAGCGAAACATACATCATAATGAAAAGATTTTTGCGTCCCATCGATTCTGCTATGTGCGAGCAAGACTATAGTAGGGAAGTGAATTATAATTATGACAAAACCACAGACAATGTCTTCTAGTGTAGATTTTGACAAATGCATGTTTAGGTGGCTGAAAAATGTCAGGGTTGGAGAAAACCAGCACATAGATCTAATCCATGGTTATCTCTCTCACTCAAAAGTGTAACTAAAGGGATATTTCTTTGAATCTAATCTTAGTTAACAGAACGTTGCAGCATGGTAAAATCCATTCTCATATGACGCATGCGAGACACAACTCACAATTTGTGCGACAGATTGGGTAGTGGGTTGCTTGTCTAATTCAAATTAAAACAATGGGTTTTGTTAGTGGTCTGCATACATACACTCAAGTTCAAGCACCTTGCAGGCAAGTCTATTCAGTGGTTTTCATCCAAAAAAAAAGGTTGTGTATGTATCTGAACAGTGCTTCTGTAAGTTTGTAAGTTACCGGTACAGTGTAACATCGAGAAGGGAGGGAGGTAGCAACCACAGGAAGAAACCTTGACGAAAGTCCTTCCAGCCGCATCCTCGGGTTCACCTCCAAAAAAGTCATACAACCTTTTTTTTCTTCAAAGAAAAAGCCATTTAGAATATTCAATTAAAAAAAAAAATCACAACTGACTTTTTCAGAGAAACAGTAACAGGATTTTTGTACGGTATAGAAGAATATTTCCCTGCAAAGGCACTTGTGGGACAACAATGCGAAGTGGTCTCTTTCCTGACTGCAGTTGTTACGAAGCTGGGCTGTGTAGATTGAGTCAAATGGATTAAGTAGCACTGAAATATCAATACATTAACTGACGGTAATTTTAATTGAGTAAAATGGACGCAGGTGGGATGAAAAAAAAAATGCTCATAAAAAGCAATGGATGAGATTAGAAATAAAAATGAATGATATATATAGAATCCATACATAATGTACCGGTACTATAACAGCTCTCAGGTAGTTTCAAGTTCTCAAACTCAATGTGTGTAAATCATCAAAAGGTACAAGACAAAAGTAACATTAGTAACAATCCATAGGGCTAAATATAGCACCTTCAATATTATTATTAGTAATGACATGCATGCAGGAGCCAACCTATCTAATACTCTGTTTCAATGTTTTGTAAACTTTGACAAATCTGAAAACTTTTCATTTAGATGACATCTTTATCACATTCCTGATTTCATGTTATGATATGGAGAAGGTGTTTAAATCAAGAAGACTTTTACAGCACTTGCAAAACACAAATAGAAGTTTATATAAGTGCTGAAGATTAGAGGTGTTACTAGAAAACTAGAGAGCAACTTACAAAGAAAAAAAAGAGAGATGAGAACGACAGATGTTTGACAGGAAAGAAGGAGCAAACTACACCAGAGCACCCACCAACCACCCACTTTGGATAGGGAAAAGGGGAAGCAGGAAGAAAATTATTTAATAATACTATTATAGATCTATGACTATTCCTTGGAAAATGTAGGGCCTACTTCTCTTCCCAATGCCACAATGTAAGCATTTCAGTATGTTTTCTAAAGAATATCCAAGATTGCCTTTCGAATCACATACTCAGATGCCTAAGGAAGGACTTCAAATGTAAGAAGAGAAAGGACCATGACAGCTTAATAAAACAACTTTTTCCACACTTTGAGAAGACAAGCAATGAGCATGCTTGAATGAATCTACTGAACGCCAAAATGAATGTGATCAATTTACAGAGAACCAGTAAATTTGTACATTTATTATCAATTCCTTATAAGACAAAAAATACAAAAATAAACATGAACATTTTTAAGGCCCTCGTTACCCTTCACCGTAAACTTGTATTTATCTACATCAAAATCAACACCACAAAGTAACAATCCATTTATATGACATGCCCATGTGATTTATAGAATTTTTGTGACCATAAGAACATATTTATATACAAATGACATTCTTCACTTAACAGGTTATTCAAACACAAATTCTTTTTAATCAACAAAATTTGGTGGCACTGGTACTGATAGCAAAGACAAAGCTTTGATAACTTTTCAAAAGATAGCACAAACATATGAGAGGCATCGTGGTGAAATCAGGCGCTCGTCAAAATAACGAAATCGAAGAGGATTTCTAAAGAAAATAATTAAAGGCACAAAAAATGTAAATTTTTAGTTTCCGAGGACTCTCAAGCTACAGAAGTCACCAAACTTCGGGAGCTATTTTCTCGCCATTTTTACCTCAGAAACCAGGTGACCCCCACCTCCATCAAACACAAATATCTCAACTTCCATTCAAGATAGATGGGTAATTCATCAAAAGCAAGAAAAAAGAACAAGCTGTATGATGATACCAATAACTCCACATGCCCAAAAATTGACGAGCGCCTGATTCCATAGCGTCGTGACACATAATGTGTACATGGCTGCAGCAAGCAGCAACGAGCCTGGTGTCATGTGGATTATACACAATGCAAGTTATTATAAATTATACATACAAAAGCATTGAAAATAGAATTTGTCCACCTACTGAGCTTTTCCAAAGCAGACTCTTGCATTGTTTTGCAAGATTTGTTGTGTTTGCTTGGTCATGAAATATATACTGGTTTATATTATAATGTTTAGCACACACATAGAGAACAGATTTTCATTTTCTAAATTTTGTTTTATATATATAAAGGTATATTCTTCGTGCTCAAAACATGAACATAGCGAAATTTGTAAATAACGAAAAGATTTCTGTCCGCATCTCGATCACTTTGCTATGTGCATGATAGACTGTATACAATTACAAAGTATGAACAAAGTGGAGCAAGATATCCTAGCAACATTCACAGAAGTTTACATTGCTTCTGCCTGTCCAAATCACCACTCTTTTTTCTTTGGACAACCCTAAATTCAAAGTCTTCAAAATTGATACAAAACAAAACAAAAAAAAAAGCAAATGAAATTGGAAACTGAAAAGTACCCTGTGTCAATGCAACTGATTAGGACAGTGAGAACGACAAAAAATAACTGTTACTGAGCACAACTTCATTCATTGCCAGACAATTTATCGTTTGTATACCATTGAACAAGTGACAAGTACGATCAATCCTTTTTTTTTAAACTGAGAAAAGAGGCGCATATCAACACAAAAAATGGCCCTGTAGTGCTGAAAAAGAGACAAGAAAAAAACAAAACAGAGAAGAAAAGAAGAAAGGTCTTTGCGTGGTTCACGCTCTAACCACCCGCTCAACTGATCCAATTCTAACAGAACAAATACAAAAACAACAAAAGAAAAACCAAACCATAAATGAACAAGAAAAACTTCCAACCTATGTTTGCCAAACACATTTTTTCCTGTTAATGGTCAAATTTCTAGGTGAGATTCCCTGTTGTACGGGTTAAGTAGGTGAGCATGATGGGAATAGAGAGTTTTTGTCTACAAGGTGTGAATGTTTTCTACCAATACTAAAATTGTTACCATATATTTCTGTGATCAATTTTGTAAAGGAGTCAAACCTGCAGTGAGGAGTTCCGTCTAATTATTACTCCTTCATGAGGCAAAGAAAAAACTTGAAATCTTCCACTGTCCATCTATATCGATGATGACTCTGATTGAGATTTAAGCCTTAAAAGAACAAATGAGGGCCACAAGACCTGCTTTGGATCAACAATATCTTCCACATTTTGAACAGTGGAAGTCTGATTATGATAGAAACTTTAAATACAGTTTACTGAACCACAGCAGGTGGCCCATTCTTTGTACACAGCAAAAATAGCACACAATTAATGTAAGTACCATTTCTACAACAGTATGTTTGCAATGCAGCGACCTGGGATTGGATCTGTGGATAAACAGAAGTGGAGAAAAAGTTTTTATTTCATTAGTTCCTTGATCTACATGTCCACTATCACTGGGAGAACACTTGCAAAGGCATAGCTTTCTCTGCTGCATAGACACACTTCTATTTCAAAGAAGACATAACTAAAGAGAAAGGTCACAGGAATCATTTCAACACTTACTGGGTATTTTTCTTTCCCCAATGTTCAACATTTATTTACAGTTAGGTCTTCATTACTAAACTATTTTTGACTTTAAAAAAAAAAAGGAAGCAATCAGCACTAGTGAATACAAATCGAGCAAATTAAAAACACCATTTATTCTGAAAAAACACAAACTTATATGAACTCATCACAGTCATACCAGCACAAGACAGCTAATAACCTTTTTACGTCACGCTGCTCAAATGGAGTCACACTCGGCACAAATGGTCACAACACATCGGCAAATGGGTTGTGTCGCTCACATGATAGTATCAAGCTCTTCTGTAACCCTTTATACATATAATTCAGGTGTAAACAAATCTTTCTACCTCTTCAAGAAGCAAATAGTAAAATGATGCATTAAATTGATCAATATCCATTTTCTGAGCGTTAATTCTGCCTCTGATCATCTTTTTTTCTTCTTTTCTCTCCAGAACAGCGTCTGTTAAACAGTCAAACATTACAGGTTTAATTTAATGGAATCCATGCTGCTGGAGATAAGGCTACTCAAGCAAAAAGAGAGGCATTGATCTGTTACTTGCTGTGCCTTAAAGTGTTAGCAATGTATGTCTGTCTTTTTCTTTCAGTCTCAAAGTATGCTTTCTAAGCTGCTGTCACTTATATCTTATATAAGTTATTATAAGTGTCATACATATGTATTTCTTGTAACTTAAGCTACAGCTATAGTATAAGCAAGAATAATTCTTTACAGTGAATTCTTTCAAACTGTGTCTGCTGGAAATTTCTCCCACCCAATAATATGTATTAAGGAATTCAAAGCAAGAGAGAGTATGAGTATAATGTGAAAAGGAAACAGTAGCTAAATAAACCGTGTAACTAAAAAACATCTGCCAGCTGTTCAGGTGTACTAAGCCAAAAAATTTGGAATTTTTGTTCACTGTAGTTTCTTAGTCTGCAGTATCAGTTGCATAAGCTCCTGAAATAATTCGTCGAAATTCAAATTCTAATTTTTGAAAAAAAAAAGCAAGAAAACATACATAATTTGGGTAAAGTTTTTAAAAGAATGAAACAGTTTCTTCTCTATCTTGAAACAATTATGCTTTCAGGGCTTAGAACAGTTGAACAGCTTACCAACCAAAGTTTGACGACATATCATGAAAAAAAATGGGAGAGGAACTTGAGGGTGGTAAGGGAAAGGTGGAAGTGTATAATTCAGGGAAGTGACAGACTGGACATAGGGGATTATGAAAGATCCACAACGGATCTTTGCAAAAATGTGATGCTGAGCAGTAACTGCTCATAAAACTACGGAATTAATTAACTGAGAGCACAGTCTCTCCTCCAAAGGCAGGTCTTTACCCCATCAAAATACTTGAGCATAAGGGCAAAAGCTTCTAAACAAATCTTTTACTTCCACAGGTACACAGAGAAAACATATATTGTCAGCCAGCAGTTAAGATGTACGAAGCCCAACATTAAAAATTTTTTGTGTGTTTTTTGTGTTTTTTTTTTGCAGTTTCTTAATCTGTGGTATAGATTGCTTGAGGCCAATTCATACATTTTGTTGAAAGTCAAATTATTAATGTTACAAAAAGGAAAAAAAATACATAGAATGGTTACAATTCTTTTGTTGTTTTTTTGTATTATCCAGCTTTTCCTCTCTCCTGAAAAATTTTGTTTTCTGGACTTACAACAGTTGATGAGCTTGCTGACAACATACTTCCCAAGGATTAATGCTAAAAGTTACAGAACAAACCTGTATTTAAATTCTTTTCGGTCAGAGGAACAAGAGGACCTCAGTGACCTTCCTCCTCTTTGCTAATTCCTTGCTAAACTCAATTCATTCCAAACTCCCCTCACTCACACCCACAGTTTCTGGTCTAAGGCCAAACTACTTAGGTCCTACAGATGACTCTTTTCTTATTGCCTTGGTTCTGTTTAAGTTTTAGTAAGAGTTTTATGGCACTTGCAACACAATAAGGTCATATAAGTGCCGAAGTTTAGAGGTGTTACAAGAGAGTAACAAACACACAAAAGTTGCCTTGGTTCAGTGACGGACATCCCTTTTCTCAAGAACTGTGATCATAAGTAAAACAAGCTAGACCTGCATTCTGCAAGTGACATAATGTTCTCTCAAATACAGGAGTGACACAGTGTTGAAAAAGGACATGGCTACGAAAATCAACATAACAATCAAGAGGGGGAAACAGAAATCTCCACCGATCAAACCGTAGAAATCACCACCAGGAGAAACAAAAAGGCATCACTAGGTTAGAAAAATAATTTCATCAGAGTTCGTTTCAAGACAAATGCACATTACAACAGATATATAATATGTAACACGCTATATTATATAATATTAACATGGATATGGCCACACTGACTTCAAACTATGATAACAGATGCATGAGGCATAAGCACACAGGGACAAATCTTTAGATTTTCCTCCGATGATCTGAAAGAGAGCTATGTAAAAGTAAAAGAGTTAGCTCAGAATAAACACTCTCTATTTGTAACAATACATACTGCTTTATCTTTCAAAATGAAACTGTAGCTTTACAGGATGACATATTCAAACCTTGGAACTGCTGAAAAAATATTTAAATCAAAATTTAATAAAATGCTGCAGATGCACATGGCCCCTACTAGCAAAGAAAATACTTCAATAATAGAGACGAAAGGATGATTTAAAAACCGAAAGACTTGGGATTTGGAATCCTTGCACCAGTACACATTTTGACACAAGAACATGCACTTTCTTCATGCCTTTTGGGGGAGCAGGGTAATATAATATATATATAATATATATTCAGTTTCTAACAGACCGATGCCAAGGAAATCATTCTCAACAACGTGCACAATACTTGCATATATATATTCCCTACCTGAGGATGGAAATAGGAAACATTTTCTATATTTTAGCTGCTCCAAAAGCGCATCTAGGCACGCATTATAACACACATATCATTGGTCACCTGTTCAGATGTACTAAGCCCAAAATTTGGAAATTCTTATTAAGTTTGAGAAATATTTTGTTGAAATTCAAATTCTAAAGGATGAAACAATAAGACAAAATTACATAATTTAGGTACAATTAGTGAAAGAATGAAAGTTTGTTTTCTCTCTCCTAAAAAGTTTTGCTTTCTGGGCTTAGAGCAACAGTTTAACAGCTTGCCAACGAATATATAACTTGTTCTTTATATTATTTATACTATGACTAGTCCACCACCCCCCTAAGTTCTATAAAGCAATACTACCAGTAATTAAAAATATAAGGTAAAAATATAAAACCTAAAAAAACCCAACAACATTCAAATTCTGGGAAAAACTATAAGCTTTATTATTCGTCCATCAGCAGAAATTGAAAAAGAACAAACTCCTTACCTGTCTCCACATGAAGCAAAAATAAAAACACACCAGTGCTTTTCACATTCATTCACACCCTGATTTACTGGACTGAATAGCTCTATACCCACTAACAAAAGCATCTGTTTTCATCAATGGATATAATATATGCAATGTATGTTTAGATGGCGAAAATATTTGTGCGAAAACAGACTGTTTTTTCATCCAGACAAAGATAGACAACCTGTTTTCATATTTTCTTAAAATTTAATAACAAAATGCCATTTAATCAAAGTCAAATGCTCGGAAGAGGCTGAAAAACTGAGATGGTTACTAGGGAAGCTTTTTCCTGAATGCTGTCAAAAATGTGAACCAGAAATATATCTATCCCAGAAATTTGATTGTTCAAAGAGTGAACAGTTGTGGACAATGCTATACCTCAACACTACCAACTACTCAAAAGAATAGTAAATGTATAGTCTGAAACGTTTCTTGATTCAAGGTAAATTCAGACAACACATTAGATGTTGCAAGATCCAAAATATTACAAAAATACATGCGTAAAAGATATAAACATATACATAGGTATGTATTTACACATGCACGACAATCACATCCACAAATATTGTATCTCTTGTCATCACACAGTCACACTCACATCCTTTTTTCTCCCCATATTCAGTCATACCTTCATTCAACTAGCTCTCTCTTGGTCACATGCACAATAGTTCTC